TGCCATAATATCTAGGAAGCGGCATTTCTCCAGATTTCCAAATACGATTGAGCAAATAGTTAAGGAGTCACGGTAGTTTGAATCCTCCACGTTACTTTCCGTCGCCGGCGAAAGGCTTCGGATTACAGTTTTTGCCCGTTGCTTGAACACTATAGACACAGGCTTAAACAAAAGTAACATAACTTGAAGTTGTTGTAACCATACCTTAAACAAAAGCGCTGCTTTGCACTTTAGTTGCAATTCTGTAACACACTTGCTCCTTTTTGCAACACACTTGCTCGTAGACACTACAAACTATTTCATATATAAGATACTTAGTTCAAAAATTAAATCTCAGGGTACCATTGGGAAAACACATCTATTCAAAATACAACACACATTGGTTAATTGAAAAGACTTAGACACACACCTAAAAACACTACAAAACTGAGCACTAAACAGCCAGCTACAAAAAGGCCGCAGTTGCAGTAATACGTTTTGAGAACTTTGCAAGCATGGAGGCAGGGAGAGCTAGAGGCAGAGGACGAGGAAGACAGAGACAGAGGGGAGGACGTGGTCGAAGAGGCCACACAAGGACCATTATTTTGGATGACATAAGAGCAACTTTGGTGGACCATGTCATAAACCATGGCCTGACTATGAGGGAAGCTGGGCTGGACTAGGAGAGTCTATTCTACAGTTATCTAAGCCGTTTCACAGTTGCATCCATAATAAGGACATTCTGACTGGAAAACAGGTATGTCTTCAACTCTATACTCTACTCAGACTGTGGATGGCTTTTGAGTAAAGCCATCCACAATATGTATGTTTTTGTTACAGAGAATCCTGGGGCCTGTTTCAGAAAGGAGGTTAAGTGAAAACTCTGAGTATGTTAACCCTGAAATGAGGGAAACTCTGAGTTTTCTGTTTCAGAATGGGAGGTATGTTAAACCTGAGAAAGCAGAGTAAGTCAAGCCTGTTTCAGAAAGAGAGGTAACTTATACTCAGAGTCAGTTACCATGGCAACTTACTCTGTGAACCTAACCTGGTCGGGAGCAGGTTTTCTTCGGGAAACCCAGAGTTTATTTCGTCTCCTCCCCTTTTTTAAAGAGGAAGTGGTATTTAATCACCTCATTCATTCTTTCGGTATTCATTCATTGCGCACATTTCAGTCACGCAGAGCGCATCAAATCAAGTGAATGAAATGGCATGTCCTTTTATGGACGATCCTGTGGATGAAGAGGCTGCATTAATCCGTAGGGAGTTGCATTTACGTCGGGAGAGGATTTTGAGACCCAGAGTGGATTTTTTGTCATATCCATATTCATTTTTATTTGAGCGGTACCGTTTTTCTTTACAGTCAATAAGATACATCCATAATCTCATCCATCCTTACATCAGAAACATCAGCCATCGCGGCCGTGCTCTAACATCCGAGCAGATGCTTTGCGTTGCATTACGTTTCTTTGCAAATGGTAGTTTTCTGTATAACATTGGGGATGCAGAACATATCAGTAAGGCTACTGTTTGCAGAATTGTAAGGAAAGTGTGCCTCGCTCTTAAGCGCTTTCTCCGAATTTTTGTGCTGTTTCCTGGGCACAAACCCGTGAGAGCCATCAAAGAGGAGTTTCACAGGATTGCAGGTCAGTAAACTAATAATAGAATTCCTTTTAGGATTTCCGAATGTGGTTGGATGCATTGATGGCACACATATTCCCATCATTGCACCTTCCGAAAATGAAGCGGACTATGTCAACAGGAGGTCCATCCACAGTATTAATGTGCAGGTACACTGAAAGCCTACTGTTTCTAATGGTCAAAGACTACATCACAATACTATAACATGTCTCATTCTTTGCATTGTCAAGATCATATGTGATGCTGCACATCTCATTACAAATGTGGAGGCCAAGTGGCCCGGTTCTGTTCATGACTCACGAATGTATCGTGAGTCAACGCTGAGCAACAGACTGGAAACTGGTAAGTAAATGCATGTATTTCAATGTATGCACTACACACTTACTGGGGAACTTCTATGCAGCTCTAAAGCATTGTGAACTTTCTTACAGGAGAGATTGATGGCTTTCTGCTGGGAGATAGGGGTTACCCATGCCGACCAACACTAATTACCCCTTACCCAGAACCTGAACCAGGCCCCCAGCGCCGCTTCAATGTGGCACACTGCAGGACGAGAGCCCGGGTGGAGATGACCATAGGCCTGTTGAAAGCACGTTTCCAGTGCCTACGTCACCTCAGGGTAACCCCTGAAAGGGCCTGCGACATTATTGTGGCATGTGTTGTTCTCCATAATATTGCCATAATTAGAGGGGAGCAACACCCTTCCCTACAAATACAAGACCCAGAAGAAGACCCCATCAACCCGGCAGATTTCCAGGAGGGAAGGGTAGTCCGGGATATGATATGCCGAAATGTCTTCACAGATTAATACACATTATATCCACCACCACAACCAACCAACCACAAAATAAAATAAAAATGAATAAACACAAAATCACAGCAATTTATATGGTGTTCTTTATTTCCTAAACATAAAAAAAAAAAATAGAATTTAATATATTTTCAATACTTAGAATTCACCTGTGACCATGCACTCACCTCTAGCTTTAGTTTCAGAATCTCAATTTCCAGATCTGCCTTTTGGATCTGGCGGTCCAAGTATACAAGTTCTTTGCTGTTTTTTTCTATCTTTTTAATAAGAAGAAGTCTATATAACTCCTTAACTGGCAACTGAAAATACAGTAGATTACAGTTACATCATGTAGTTCTAAAATTCTACAATATTAAACTGTGGCATTTACTGAAAAAAAAAAATCACTGAACTGTGTTCATCTGTGCACCAGAAGTTGATGGACCATCCTCTTGCTGTTCTTCCACACTCTGGGGAGAGATACAAATACCTGTTTATACTTAGATTTAAACTTAGATTCTATAGGCTACTCCACATAAAAAAGGTGAAGAAATGTGAATGTGTAGATTGTTTGATAGACACATAATATTAACATTACCTCTGTAGGCATCTCTGTGGCAGCAGAAACTGTTTCTTCATCCCCATCATCCTGTGAAGATGAGCATTTGAGTACACTTTATAACACTATTTGTAATCATTTCTGGTGTATTGAGTAGGCTACTTACAACTGCCTGTGGTTCTGTTGGGACAGGAGGCTCCAAAAGACTAATTTTACCATCATAATCTGTTGGGACCAACGAAAAACCCACCCCAAAGTAAAATAAATGGAAATATCACAAATAGCCTATATAAAAACACAACACATAGGTAGACCTCTTACATTTTATGAAGGCACTTAAATCTTCTGGAGTGACTGGCTCTGATGAAGTCCCTCCAGGAATTCCCTCAGCCATTGGCCTTCCAGCATTCAGGCTCAGGGCCATCTCCTCTGCATTTGTCAGAGGTGGTGGTGCAGGTCCTCCCCCCGTTTTGCGAGCCTCTGCCTTCTTTCTGTTGGCTGAGTAGTCAAATGAGAATGAACATTTAGACCCATGTCAAAAATGCTGCTGCACTGCTAGACACTGGATGCTATTTAGTTATTTATATGTCAAATGTTTGTAAAGTCAGGTAGACTACAACCATGATATGTTCAAGCCTTACCTGATTGAATTATGTTTTTATATTTCATTTTCAGCTGCTGCCATGTTCTTTTAATGCCTGCAGGATTGCACCTACATGAAAATTAAAATTAGGTTGAATAACACACTGTTCTTCCAGTTTCACTTCTGATATTATAACAGTTGGGCAAGTCACTTATATTACTAACTACAACTGGCTTCTTCAACAGTGTAATAAGATTAATGTAATAATGACTATCTCTAGAAAGTATTGGTCTACTTATTACTAATTACTTTCTAAATCCCATATCAACCTCAACCACTTGAACAATACAAGGAGAGACAAGAAACTGCACTTTTAATGCTTTCAAATAAACATTATACAATTGCATGAATTATTCTTGAAAAAATATATCTTTTAAAATTTGATGTTAAATCCACTATTGTTTTATACAGAATTGCTTTATAGTTTATGCAGCATTTAATGCAATTACATCAGATTTTACTTTAAATTACGGAATTAAATTACAGTTTTTAGATTACATAGAAATTAATTACACACAACCCTGTATAACAGTAATTCAAATGTAAACTTACGCATTGACTCGAGCAGCTATTTTCTCCCAAGCTAACTCTCTGTCCTTCGCCGCTGCAGCCGTGTTGCTTTTTTTTTTAAATATATGTTCGTACTCTCCATATGCTTGCATAAGCACATCCAGTTCTGCTGGTGAAAAATATGAAGACCTCTTTTTGTCTGGCGCTGTTGCCATGGTGACTCGTAATATCTGCGCTCCATTGATAATGGCTTTTTATAGTTGTGGTGCACGCGCTTAACTCAGAGTAGGTCAACTCAGAGTTGATTGAACTAACTCATTTCAGCTGTTCTGTAACCGAAAACTCAGAGTTTCCCATCTCAGGGTAAGTCAACTCAGAGTTCAAGTTTTAACTCAGAGTTGGTTGAACCTCCTTATTGAAACAGGCCCCTGGGGTCTACATGCACCCGTAGGTGCCTCTGTTAGAGACACTGGATTAGAAGCCAGCGGCTGTCGCCCAGTGTGTCGTAGCAGTGAGGTAAGCGGTGTGATGGGTCAGATCGTGGTAGGTCGGTTTAGAGCAGACCTGGGCATCGTACGGCCCGCGGGAGGATTCTGACCGGCCCGCGAAAGACCACATGACGTAGAAAAAAAAACATATTTTCTAACTAAAAGCGCATTGCTTTTATTTTGAAGGCCATTCTCACGGTGCACGTCAACTGTGCACGTGAAATGCGTGTGATTGACAGGTCACCCCTGAACTCTACCTTCTGTTTCAAACAAAGATGGACTATTTCCTCCTTTACTGAAGTCAAAGGTAAACCTGTGTGTTTGCTTTGTGGGGAGCATGTCGCCGTGTTTAAAGAGTACAATTTGAAACGGCTTCACGAGACCGAACATGGCGATAAAGACAAAAACTCGACTGATGCCGAGCGAGCGCGGATCAACGGATTTACTAGCAAAGCTCGAAAAACCACACGGCTGTTTTACAAAGCTGCAGCCAGAGATGCAGCGACCAGAACCAGAACACGAAGCCATTCTGTGAGGGGCAGTTTGTGAAGGAGTGCGTGGTCGAGTCCAGAGGAAAAAGAAGCGTTCGAAACGCCCTGTCGCCCTGACGCACCGGGACGAGGAGGGTGGAGGACATGGCGGGGAATCTGGAGTTTCAGCTGCAAGGTGACGCGTGAAGCTCTGGATGAGCGCCGTGACGTCCGTCACGCGGCCCAGCTGCTCAAGTCTCCCCGGTGGACGACGAGCGACTTCAAGCTTACGGAGGAGCCGGCAGCAATGCGGCCAATGAAAGGAACCACGACGGGGACGGATCTGTTCACCGGGGCAAACGCATGCAGGGACAAACCGGGACGCCAATGGGACAGACTGGCAGGGGTCACCACGGATGGATGTCCAAATCTGACTGGGAGGAATGTTGGGCTTTTGGAAAGAATGAAAGATAAAGCGAGTGAACTCGCCGCAGAGCAGGAATTGGTGTTCATACGTTGTGTTGTTCATCAGCAAGCGTTGTGTCCGTCAGCGCTTAAACTTGTTGTTACTACAACAGTTGATTTCATGGCAGCGGAGCATTGAACCACAGGCAGTTTGTTTCACTATCGGAGGAGCAGGAGAGCGAACATGCTGATGTCCGGTACCACACAGCTGCCACATGGCTCAGTCCGGGCAAAGTGCTGAAAAGGTTCTGACTTCTGAAATCAGAGGTAAGAGTTTTGTGAGATGGAAGACAAAACCACCCCAGAGCTGTCTGATAAGGACCGGATGGCAGATTGAACGTTTGCTGTTGCTGTGACTGCAGTGATGAATGAAGTGAACACACAGCTGCAGGCCGAGGGCCTCTTTGCTCATGAAATGCACATCCATGTGAAAGCCTTCGTGACAAAGCTGCAATTCATTTCAAGGCAACTGGGCAGCAACAATGTCAAACACGTGAAAACCCTGAAAGAAGTCAAACCATCATCTGATCACCGGCACTCGTCCATGTTAGGAGCACTGCGTGATGAATTTAAGGCGATTCAAAAAGG